AAAAAAAAGAAAGAGGGTCTTGGCTGGGCTCTGTGGCTCAGCCTATAATCCCAGCACTTTGGGAGGCCGAGGCGAGTGAATCGCCTGAGCCCGTGGGTTCGAGATCCACCTGGGCAACTTGTTGAGAGCTCGTCTCTACAATAAATCAAAAATTAGCTGGGTGTGGTAGCGTGCGCCTGTAGTTTCGGCTACTTGGAAAGCCGAGGCAGAAGGATCTCTAGAGCCCAGCAGGTAGACGCTGGGGTGCCCATGAGTATGCCACAGCACTCCAGCCTGGGTGACAGAGTGAGACTCCAACTCAAAAAAAAAAAAAAGAAAGAGGGTCTTGCTCTGTTGTTCAGGCTGGAGTACAGCAGTGTGATCATGGCTTACTGCAACCTCGAACTCCTGGACTCAAGGGATCCCCGGCTCAGTCTCCCCAGTATCTAGGAGTACAGGTGTGTGCCACCATGTCCAGCTATTTTTTGTTCTTTGAGTCAGAGTCTCACTCTGTCACCCAGACTGGAGTGTAGTGGCATGCTCATGGCTACTGCAGCCTCAACCTGCTGGGCTCAGGTGATTCTTCTGCCTCAGCCTTCCAAGTAGCTGGAACCACAGGTGCACACCACCACATCCGACTAATTTTTTGACTTATTGTAGAGACAAGGTCTCGCCAAGTTGCCCAGAATGTTTTCAAACCCCTGGGAACAGACAATCCTCTTGCCTCTGCCTCCCAAAGTGCTGAGATTATAAGTGTGAGCCACCAAGCCTGGCTTAATTTTTTAATTTTTTGTAGAGATGGGGGGTTCTCACTAATTTGTCCCGGCTGGTCTCAGACTCCTGGCCTCAAGTGATCCTCCTGTCTTAGCCTCCCAAGTAGCTTGGATTACAGGTGTGCATCACCATGCCCCACTAGGCAAACGGTTTTCTGCACACCAGGGTGTAGTCGGGAATGAGTCTATGAGCCCATGTGAATAGGGATCTTCGTGAGCAAGGCCTCTGGAACTCATCTCCACAATGAGCAGTTGTACGCCCAGCCATGGCTAACCTGCTCCCCGGCAGAGCCTCGCCTGAGCAGGGAGCATCTGGGCAGTGACAATGGGCTCCAGAATCAGGGCTCTGCAGGCTCCTGCCCCAGCCTCTGCCCACAGATGGGAATGGCTCGGAGGGATGTATCCAGAGAATGACTGAGACCCACCACAGTGTTTCTGGAAGCAAAGTCCAGATGGCAGGAGGGACAAAGTTACCTCCCCAGCCCAGTGGAGCCAGACACCTGCCAGCCTTCGGAACCCGAGGCTGCTGATGACCTGCTTCATTGAGTCAGCAAACATTGACTTTGCGCCTAGGATACAAGCCAGGCTGGGCTTTGGGAGCCGGGGGTTGATTTGGCCACAGCAAGCAAGGGAACAACATGTTCCTGCGGGCCTGGGGGGTGGAGGGCCTGCACTGGGCTCTTATCCCCAGTGAGGCCTTCTGGGCCTACGAGCACCACTCTGGGCCACCTCCACGCCAGTTTTCTCAGTTGAAAACTTAGACTCAGGAAGCTGAGGTGGACATGGGGCGCCAGACTGGAGAGCCGTCCCAGGAGGGGCAGAATGAGGAGGTGGGGCCACTTTGCCTGCCTCTGAATTTCAGCCCAGAAAATAGAGAAAAGAAGGGAGAAGCTGCCTGGCCTGGTCCAACAAGATCCAACTTCAGAATCCAACAGGCTGAGACATGGTGGCTCAAGCCTATAATCCCAGCACTTTGGGAGGCCGAGGCAAGAGGATTGCCTGAACTCAGGGGTTCGAGACCAGCCTGGGCAACATGGTGAGACCTCATCTCTACAATAAATCAAAAAATTACAATAAAAAAAAATGTCAGAGACAGAGTTCGATTATGTTTCCCAGACTGGTCTCCAACTCCTAGTCTCAAGCAATTCTCCCACCTTGGCCTCCCAAAGTGTTAGAAATTATAGGCATGAGACACCACCATGCCTAGCCAGTACCGTCATTTAAAGTGTGGGCCAGCCGGGCTTGGTGGCTCAGCCTGTAATCCCATGCTTTGGGAGGTTGAGGTGAGTGGATTGCCTGAGCCCGCGGGTTCGAGACCCGCCTGGGCAACTTGGCAAGACCTCATCTCTACAATAAATCAAAATTTAGCAGGGCGTGGTAGCTACTTGGAAGGGCGGAAGGATCGCCAGAGCCCAGCAGGTCGAGGCTGCGGTGGCCGGGAGCGGCCACTGTACTCCAGTCTGGGTGACAGAGTGAGAATCTGATTCAAAAAAACAAAAACAAGATAAAACAAAACAAAAATAAAGTGTGAGCCATGGAGTTGGAATTACTGGCTCACATTCCAGTTCTATTCTGCCACTTGCTAACTGCATGCCTGGGGAAGTTCTCCAACTTTCTTGGTGACTCATACATTACCAACATTAACAGAGACCATCCTGTGTGCCAGCTTCCATTGCAAAGACTTATGCTTTATCCCACTGAATCCTTCGCCACACTATTATTATTATTAATTTTCTTTAATTTTTTATTTGGAGTCACACCATCATTCAGGTTGGAATGCAGTGGAACGCTCACGGCCACCTGTGTTGACCTGCTGGGCTCAGGCATTCCTTCGCCTCAGCCTTCCAAGTAGCTGGGACTACAGGGCCATGCTACCACGCCCTGCTAATTTTGTTTTGTTTTTTTAATTGTAGAGATGAGGTCTCACCAAGTTGCCCGGACTGGTCTTGAACTCGCAGGCTCACGCAATCACTCGCCTCAGCCTCCCAAAGTACTGGGATTATAGGCTGAGCCACTGAGCCCGGCCTATTTTTTTTTTTCTTTTTGAGTCAGAGTCTCACTCTGTCACCCAGACTGGAGTATAGTGGCATGCTCATGGCCACCGCAGCCTTGACCTGCTGGGCTCAGGCGATCCTTCAGCCTCAGCCTTCCACATAGGTAGAACTACAGGCACACACCACCACACCCAACTAATTTTTTAAAAATTTATTGTAGAGACAAGGTCTCGCCAAGCTGCCTGGGCTGGTCGCAAACCCACAGGCTCAGGCAATCCACTCGCCTCGGCCTCCCAAAGTGATGGGAGCACAAGCGTGAGCCACCACGCCTGGCTGCCACCACACTATTATTGCTCCCATTTTACAGATGGAGAAACCGAGGCTCAGAGGGGTTGACTCTGACTTGCCCACGTCATATAGTATGTAGCAGAGCCAGGATGCAAATCGTCATACCTGTGCCTCTAACCACTGTGGAATATAACCGTTTCATCCTAAACATAAACCTCATGCTTGCTGTGCAAACAGCCTTCAAGGCCCATCCCCAGATCCCCCTTCAAGTTCCCCCAAATCAGAATTCTGGAGCCGCCACTGCACTCCAGCTGTCCTTAGCTTCTGAGCTTTGGATTCTGGGCGGGTAAGGGTCACAGTCCCGGTCCCAGGGTCCTGGAAAGAGTGTGCCCTTGGCTCCTTGCCCTGGCTCTGCCCCCCACTGTCTAGTGGACTAGGACAAGTCACCCCCACCCCGTCTGGGCCTGACAGCATTGCTCTGCCCAATGAGGCCCAGGCTGGATCAGAAGCTTCCAGGCCTAGGACCTTGCAGGCCTAGGCTCAGCTCCCGCCCCCATGAAGGCCACCAGGCGGGGGCGGGCACTGCTCCTGTTAAATACATCTGTCCAGCACTCACCAGGTCTCTTGTCCCAGTCTCCCAGCAGGACGTGTAGCCAGGATCTACCATGGTAAGTGCCTGCCTGGGGCCATGGCAGTCTTCCTGGGTGGATGACTGCAGTGCCACTTCCAGGAGTACCTTGTCCGGGAGCCAAGCCTCACTGTCCTTTTCTTTCTCCTTAGACGACTTACAGCAACAAAGGACCAAAGGTGAGCAGCAGAAACGTAGGAAATGTGGGGGCCTGGGTCCAGAAGAGGCCAAGGAACAGGGAGACAATGTCAGCAAAGAGCGTGATATGCGACTTCCACGCATGCACACTCAGCTTTATCCCGTCACCCCCAGACTGAGCTAGCCTCAGCCGTGGCCTGCTAAAAAATTGTACCCCCTCTCAAGTACCTGCCAATCTCCTAATCCCATCTGGAAGTTCTCTCCATGGTCTCACCTAAATCCATGGTGCTACGGCATAAGACTATTTTCCTTCATGAAACCTTGGCAGGCCTCCAGAGGGGCTTTCCCATCCCCAATACCCAGGAGCTCAGTTTCTATTTGAGAAATCTCTTTGGAGGGGCGGCAAGACCATGTGAGGTTCAGCCTCTCCTAAGTTGTATAGTTGAGGCTGGGATAAGGGAGGTGGTTAGGGATTGCCTCTCCACTTGTACTTTTCTAGACCCATTTTCAGGGACTCAACCTCACCCCTTCTCTCCTTCTGCAGCCCGAGAGGGGCCGGTTCCTTCACTTCCACTCTGTGACCTTCTGGGTTGGCAACGCCAAGCAGGTAGAAGCCGGGGCAAGGTGTTGAAACCAGAGGGCAGGCAGAAGGGTCCCCCAGACAAGGGCAGGCCTCTAGCAGGGTCAGTGATTGGTCCCTGGGAGGGGCGGATCAGGACCGGGTTGGGACCAGACACTCTGGATACTAATTATGCAATCGGGCCACGGCAGAATGTGCAAGGAGCAGCCGTGCTTCCCGGGGTCTCTGCACCTGGGGCAGCAGTGCAGGTGGGCTGAGGGTGTGGGGGCTCTCTTCTGGAGCCCCCAGGCCAGCCCTCAAGCCTCGTGTACCTGCTGTGACACAGGCTGCCTCCTTCTACTGCAACAAGATGGGCTTCGAACCCTTCGCCTACCGGGGCCTGGAGACAGGCGCGCGGGAGGTGGTCAGCCACGTGATCAAGCAAGGGAAGGTGAGTGCCCATTACAGGACATGCCTCTCCACTCCACTTCGATCCAGGAGGGCAGGCCTCTCTCTCTACTCCCGTGGGCTCAGCCCCTTGGTGTCCTCAGGGATGCTGAACTCCGCCGAGTTCCCCATCGACCCCTCCACGGGCAGTCAAGGTCACGGACCCGAGGGCAGCACACTCAGCCACACAACAGGGACCTTCCGCCTGTCCTCTCCTCAGCCTGGCCCAACACTGGCCCCACAGATGTCCAGGACACCTAGGACAAGTCAGAGCAGGATGTTTAAGCAGAGCCACAGTCCGTGGGGTCCCTGGAGTTCTCCCTACTCCCCCCTGGTAGACTTGACCCAGCAGCTCTGAGGACCCAGGGCGGATCTGATGCGGGAGGAAGCCCCATGTCTCAGAACCAGTGCGGGCAGCTAAGGCAGAGAAGGAGCTAGAACTCACGGTCCAGGAGTCCTGCATGGCTGGACCTTCTGTTCCACAAGAGGGGCCTGGCGTGGGCAGGGAGGACAGGACAGGCGCAGCTCCCCGTGCTGGCCCGAGCCATCAGCCACGCCCCCTTCTCTGTGTCACAGATTGTGTTTGTGCTGTCCTCGGCGCTCAACCCCTGGAACAAAGGTGTGGGGCCTGTGGGGCAAAACATGGCATTGTGGGTGGGCTATGGGTCCAGGGAGGGGGCAAGACTGGGAGGGAGACAGGGCCCAGGGAGGGGCCTCAGACTCCAGAGTCACCACCCCCTGCCGGCCACAGAGATGGGCGATCACCTGGTGAAACATGGAGACGGAGTGAAGGACATCACGTTCGAGGTGGAAGATTGTGACTCCATTGTGCAGGTGAGACCGCACCTGGGCTGGGGCGGGAAAGGAAGCCCCTCCCTCTGCCTGCCATGGGGACCCCATCAGTCAGAATTGGAAGGACACTGCCATATCACAGTGACGAACCCAGGCATTGATGTGACACACACTTGGGTTCCTGGAATACTCTGCCTCTTCCTGTATGTCCTTTCTGAGCCTCAGTTTCCACATCTGTAAAAAGGGGATAACCACAGCACTCTCCTCACTGAGCTGTTATAAAGAGGAGATGGGGTCAGGCACAGTGGCTCATGCCGCCTGTGATCCCAGCACTTTGGGAGGCAGGAGGACCCTTTGAGCCCAGGAGCTTTTTGTATTTGCTTCTGTTTTGAGTCGGAGTCTCTCTCTGTCGCCCAGGTTGGAGTGCAGTGGCACATTCATGGCCACCACAGCCTTGACTTGCTGGTTCAGGCAATCCTTCCTCCCCAGCCTTCTAAGTAGCTAGAACCACAGGCATGCGCCACCATCCCCGGCTCAATTTTTTTATATATTGTAGAGACGAGGTCTCACCAAAGTTACTCAGGCTGCTCTCGAACCCTTGGGTACAGGCAATCCTCTTGCCTCTGCCTCCCAAAGTGCTGGGATTACAGGCGTGTGCCACCATGCCCGGCTAATGACCATTTCTTGAATACAACTTTGAACCAAACACTGTACTCAAGAGGCAGTTTAGAGGTTCAGAGCCACACTACCCAGGTCTGAATCCTACTAGCCCTGTGACCGAGTGACTTAATATCTCTGTGCTTGAATCGCCTCATCTAGGGAATAGAGACAATAATAGTACCTTTTGTACACTGTTGAGGTTTGTGCCTACACAGTGCCTGCCACACGATGTGGCATCAACATGCAGTCAGGTTTTGCCTGGTAGACACATGAGTCAGGTTTGTCAGGCACTTGGCCCAGGGCCGAACACACAGTGGGTGCCCAGTGTCAGTGTGGACTCTTCTTCCCAACCTCTCTCTTTACAGATGGGGAAACTGAGGCCTGGGGAGGCGGAGGGGTCACACCGTGAGTTAGCTGAGGCAGGACAGACACCCACTCCCACTCGGTCTGTCTCCCTTAGCCCCGACTCTGAGCCTGGCCTCAGTTTCCCCAACTGCCCAACGAACATGAGCCATGAGTTCTGGGAGTAACAGCTGAAGTTGGATGGGGTTCCTGGCTGGGGCTGGACCCTCCGGAGGAGGCTTGCGGCAGGACCACCCAGCAGGGGGGCAGGCAAGGACTCTGGGATGCTCCCACCCTCACCGCCATCCCCTATTGGTCTCCTCTGCAGAAAGCCCGGGAACGGGGTGCCAAAATCGTGCGGGAGCCCTGGGTGGAGCAGGACAAGTTTGGGAAGGTGAAGTTTGCTGTGCTGCAGACGGTGAGTTCACTCTGACGCCCTCTCTGTGCCTGCTGTCAGCACCGCCCGGCTGACTCCACCGTCCCATCCCGCCTGTGGGCCTCTGACCAGAGTCACTATTCCCGGAGTCTGACCCGCTGTGATGCCTGGCCAGGGTGCAGAGGCTGTCAGGAGCTACCAGTCACTCCTCCCAGGCTTCCCTACCTCCAAGGGAAGGGGGGGCAGGTGACAGCAAGGGGGTGTAAGCTTTAGGCAGGGGTTTGAAAGGATGGGGGCAGGGGAAGCTGCGTGACTTTGGGCAAATCACTTTACCTCTCTGGGACTGTTTACATGAGCAAGGACTGGAGTTGGACAGCCCATGGGACCTGGGACATGCTGAGTCACCTCTTCAGCTCCGATCCCTCATAGGGTAGTAAGGTTCAAAGAGGTTCATTCCTGCACAGCACTTAGAACAACAGCGTCAGGCATATTAGACACTCAAGAAAGATGATCAATTCTGTACAGCACCTGCATGACTGTACTACAGAGACAATTATGGGTCTTTCCTCTTGAGATCAAATTACACAAAAAGATGGTTAAAATGGCAGACAGGTCGGGCTTGGTGGCTCAGCCTGTAATCCCGCGCCTTTGGGAGGCTGAGGTGAGTGGATTGCCCGAGCCCGCGGGTTCGAGACCCGCCTGGGCAGCGAGACCTCATCTCTACAATAAATCAAAAAAATCAGCCGGGCGTGGTAGCGCATGCCTGTAATTCCGGCTACTCAGAAGGCTGAGGCGGAAGGATCGCCGGAGCCCAGCAGGTCGAGGCTGCGGTGGCCGGGAGCGGCCGCTGCACTCCAGTCTGGGCAATAGAGTGAGACTCCAACTCAAAAAAAAAAAAAAAAATGGCAGACAGGGTCCTTCAGTATAATTTTTTTTATCAAAAAAAATTTTTTTAAGTTAGAGTCTCACTGTCGCCGAGACTGGAGTGCAGTGCCAGGCACACTCACGGCCACCACAGCTTCGATCTTCTGAGCTCAGGTGTTCCTTCCACCTCAGTCTTCCAAGTAGCTGGAACTACAGGTGTTTGCCACCACACTCAGCTAATTTTTTGATTTATTGTAGAGACGAGGTCTTACCAAGGCTGGTCTCAAACCCTGAACTCCGGCAATCCTCTAACCTCCACTTCCCAAAGTCCTGGGATTACAGGCATGAGCGGCTACACCCAGTCCTTCAGTATAATTTGATGTAATGCCCATGTCTTCTTCATTTAGTCGACTCGTTTTGTTTTGTTTTGTTTAGGAACAAAGTCTCACTCTGTTATGCAGGCTGAAGTGCAGTGGTGTGATCATAGCTCACTGTAACCTCAAACTCCTAGGCTCAAGCAGTCCTCCTGCCTCAGCCTCCAGAGTAGCTGGGCCTACAGGTGTGAGCCATCACATCTAGCTAATTTATTATTATTTATTTTATTTTATTTTATTTTTGTAGAGACAAGGTCTCACTCTTACCCAGGCTAGAGTGCAATGAAATAATCATAGCTCACTGCGGCCTCAAACTCCTGGCCTCAAGTGATCCTCCTGCCTCAGCCTCTTGAGCAGCTGGGACTACAGCTGCATGCCATCACACCCAGCTCAGTCAACCTATTTTTATTGAGCACCTACTACGTGTCAGGCACTGGGCTGGGCGCTTGGGATAGCATGACGAGGACAACATCTGACCTCTTGGGGGGCAGACAAAGAAACTCCCAAAAAAGTAACAGATTGCAATTCACTTCAGAAAGGAGAAGCGACTTGCCCAAGTTCACACATCAAGTTAGGGTCAGAGGTGGGTTCCAACCCAGAACTGTGCTGGTGCATTGAAATGGGACATGGCAGGGCTGGGGGCTCGGGGGCCAAGCCAGGCTATCTTCCACCCTTAGTACGGGGACACCACACACACCCTGGTGGAGAAGGTGAACTACACTGGACGGTTCTTGCCTGGATTTGAGGCCCCAGTAATGACGGATCCTCTCCTTTCCAAGCTGTGAGTGTCCCTTGGGGCAGCAGTGGGGTGGGAAGCCCTGAGGCAAAGGGCACTGTCCCCCCTCCTCCTTGAGGACTGGGCTTTTCTGATGGGGTGGGGCATCTGGAGCCTGCTGGGGAAACTCCTGAAAGTCCCCAAGGGGCACTTGAAGAGGTGGCAGAGAGGCAGCAACCGACCTCAGCCTCCTGAGCAGCTGGGACTACAGATGCATGCCATCACACCCAGCACAGTTGACCTCTGCAACCAGTTCAAATCCCACCTCTGTCACTTCCTAGGCATTTGTCCTCAGGCAAGTTGCTTCATTTCTCTATGCCTCAGTTTCCCCATCTGTAAAATGGGGACAGTAATAGCATGTGAGTTGACAAAGTGAAATGCTTGGTCCATAGGAAGCACTGCATAAGTGTGCCCTACTATTATCATTGAGGGGTCAGTGGGAAGGGAGAGATTTGGGTGGTATCTGCCTTCTCAGTCCCCAACTCCTTCCCTTTCTCAGTCCCAACTGTCATCTTGAGATTATTGATCACATTGTGGGAAACCAGCCTGACCAGGAGATGGTGTCTGCTTCAGAATGGTGAGCCCACAGCCCTCCCTCTGCCCCTGAAGGTGACACGCCCTCTTGGGGGATATGCTCACAATCAGTTCTTGCATTAAGTGGAAGATGGTGGGAACTAGCCTGGGTTACTGATTCATTCATTTACTGTGAAACTGTCACCATGGAGACCAGAGGACTTAAGGCCCAAAGTTCCTCCCTGTAGCATCCTTAGGGACACTGCAGTCCAGGGAGGCACTCTTGTCCAAATTCCAAGTAAATGTCCCTTTCTCGGAGCCCTTGGCTTCCATCTATTGGAGTGTTTTGTCACAAGATACTACCCCATGGAGGAAAATTGTCAGGACAAAGGTCTAGATCTAGATGTGTACGATGGGGGTGGTGTCGCCTTCCTGGAGCCTGCTCGGGGACAAATTCTGGAAGGTGAAAACAGAGTGGGGTGGAGGAGCCAGTCCCAGGCTGGCGCTCAGAGCAGATATGTCCTGCTGGCCACCTGCAGGTACCTGAAGAATCTGCAGTTCCACCGCTTCTGGTCCGTGGATGACAAGCAGGTGCACACAGAGTACAGCTCTCTGCGCTCCGTTGTGGTGGCCAACTACGAGGAGTCCATCAAGATGCCCATTAACGAGCCAGCACCAGGCAAGAAGAAGTCCCAGATCCAGGTGGGACTCCTCAGGCTAGGTGGGAGGAGAGCAGGGGAGAGGTTTGAGGGCTCTTGCAGGGAAAGAAGTGTGAGTGACGGGACAAGTAATGGTGGCTCCTTGTTTCCCTTTTCCAGGAATTTGTGGAGTATAATGGGGGCGCTGGGGTCCAGCACATCGCTCTCAAGACCCAAGACATCATCACATCGGTGAGAACCCCACTCCTGCTCCAAATTCCCTCTCATTCAGCTGCAGGGACAGTCTCTGCAAAACAGAGAGGGAGGGGAGCAGTGGCAGTCCTGGGCTCCTGCTACTCATGGACTGGTCCAGCCCCACTCCATCCCAGAGAGCTCAGTCTCTGCAGGACCTCTGGACTTTCAAGGTAGCAGGTGCCCAAGTCTTAGAAAGCCTGGAACCACGGGCTCAGGCAGTCCACTCACCTCAGCCTCCCAAAGGTGCAGGATTACAGGCTGAGCCACCGAGCCCGTCTATTATTGTTATTTTTTTTGAGTCAGAGTCTCACTCTGTCGCCCAGTCTGGAGTGCAGTGGCACGCTCATGGCTACCGCAACCTCGACCTGCTGGGATCAGGTGATCCTTCCGCCTCACCCTTCCAAGTATCTGGAACTACAGGCGGGCACCACCACACCCGGCTAATTTTTTGACTTGTTGTAGAGAACGAGGTTTCACCAAGTTGCCCAGGATGGTCTCAAACCCGGCTCAAGCAATCCTCTTGCCTCCACCCCCCAAAGTGCTGGGATTACATGTGTGAGCCGCCCTGCCAGGCAGGAAGTCTGAATTATTGCCCTGATTCTACCAGTGACTCGCCGTGTCTCTGGGGGATTCAGTGCCCTCTCTTGACTTCAGTTGCTTCACCCTGAAAATGAGGATATTGCCAGGAGTACCGCACCTGGCCTGGTTGCACATTTAAATTGGGTGTTCAGGGAAGCCCTCATGGAGAAGGAGACACTTGAGAATGCAAAGGGTTGGAAGGAAAGAAGCTGGTGGGGGTTGGGGAGAACCCCAGGCAGAAGGGAGCTTGGTGTGTGCCCAGAAGGCTGAAGGAACAAGGAGATCGGTATGACCAGAACAGAATGAGCAAGGGAGAGAGAGGTAGGAGATAGGTCGGAGGGTGGTGGGGGGGGCACAAGGGAGGACCACGAAGGCGACTTTGAGTCTGACTGGGATGTGGTACCACCGGGGTAAGCAGAGGAGTGACATGATTTGACTTCCATTTTTTTTTTTTTTTTGAGTTGGAGTCTCACTCTGTCGCCCAGACTGGAGTGCAGCGGCCGCTCCCGGCCACCGCAGCCTCGACCTGCTGCGCTCCGGCGATCCTTCCGCCTCGGCCTTCCGAGTAGCGGGAATTACAGGCACGCGCTACCACGCCCAGCTGATTTTTTGATTTATCGTAGAGATGAGGTCTCGCTGCCCAGGCGGGTCTCGAACCCGCGGGCTCAGGCAATCCACTCACCTCAGCCTCCCAAAGGCGCGGGATTACAGGCTGAGCCACCGAGCCCGGCTTGACTTCCATTTTAAAGTCACTCTGCTACTATGTTGAGAATAGCCCCTAATCTCTCAATGCCTCAGTTTTCCCAGCTATGAAATGAGGATAATAGTCCTCCCAATACCTCTAAGGATTGCTGCATGGGCCAAATGTTCCTTAAGCATCTGACCCCCCATCCAATCTAGGAGAAGTGGATTCACTCTTTTACTCTCGTCTACTCTCTAAATAAACTTAGAAAAAAAAAAAAAAAGAGCCGGGCTTCGTGGCTCAGCCTGTAATCCCGCGCCTTTGGGAGGCTGAGGTGAGTGGACTGCCTGAGCCCGTGGGTTTGAGACCCGCCTGGGCAGTGAGACCTCATCTCTACAATAAATCAAAAAATTAGCTGGGCGTGGTAGCTCATGCCTGTAATTCTGGCTACTCAGAAGGCTGAGGCGGAAGGATCGCCGGAGCCCAGCAGGTCGAGGCTGCGGTGGACGGGAGCGACCAGTGCACTCCAGTCTGGGCGACAGTGAGACTCCAACTCAAAAAAAAAGAAAGAAAGAAAGTGCTTGAGAGGGGCACACAGTGACTGTTTCATACATTTAGCAGTTGCTGCTCTTCTAATAGGGCCCACGACAGAGAATGAAGGGATGAGGTAACACCACGCCCTGGCAGTTGAGGGGAGCTAGGATAGGGACCCAGCCTCCTCCTGGCCCAGCATCTCCTCTGGGCTGGGGTGTTGAACACGGAGAGAGAAGGAGGCTGACTGCAACCTTGCTCTGAGACAGATTCGCCACTTGAGAGAGAGAGGCACGGAGTTCCTGGCTGTTCCTTCCACATACTACAAACAGATCCGGGAGAAGCTCAAGACGGCCAAGATCAAGGTGAAGGAGAACATCGACATCCTGGAGGTAAGGCCTAGGCAGGACTCTCTACCAGCTGGAAAATACCAGCCCTGAGCTCCATCTTACCTCACAAATGTTGTCTAAGCCCCTGCCCTGCATCAGGCACAGGGACAGAGAGGGAAAAGCAGACCAGGTATCTGCTGGTATTTACATTCTGGGGGGTGGAGGGGAGGGGAGACAGATGACAAACAAATAAAAACACCAACAGCCGGGTTCAGTGGCTCAGCCTGGAATCCCACACCTTTGGGAGGCTGAGGTGAGTGGATTGCCTGAGCCCGTGGGTTCAAGACCTGCCTGGGCAGGTGAGACCTCATCTCTACAATAAAATAAAAAAACTACCCGGGTATGGTAGTGCACACCTGTAATTCCAGCTACTTGGAAGGCTGAGGTGGAAGGATCCCCGGAGACCAGCAGGTCGAGGCTGCGGTGGCCGGGAGCGGCCACTGCACTCCAGTCTGGGTGACAGAGTGAGACTCCAACTCAAAAAAACAAAAACAAAAACAAAAACAAAAAAACACCAACAGAGAGAGAGACACACACCCAGTGCCATGCAGGAAGTTATAAACGTGCAACCTGGGGCTACTTTACAGAGTGGTCAGGAAGGACCTTTTTGAGGTGGTGACATTGAAGTGAAATGTAGATCATGAGAGAGCTGCCACTGGCCACATGAGACTGAGGAGAGAGCTTTTCTGGCAGAGGGAATAGCAAGTGCAAAGATCCTGAGGCAGGAGCCAGTCCGAGTGTTTGAGGAACAGAAAGAGGGTTAGAGAGGAGGCAGGTTGTACTTGAGGAGTGACCTAGGTCAGACGGGTGGGCAGGAGTGAGTCCTCTTGAGGGCTATTTAGGAGTTTGGATTTTGTTCTTCTGTGGCGAGAAACTGTTGGAGGCTTTATTGGTTTTAGTCTGTGATAGTAGTTTTATTGATGTATGTCAAATAATATGTCACCTTTCTTTTTCTTTACTGAGTCGGTGTCTCACTCTGCCACTCAGGCTGGAGTGCAGTGGCACACTCACAGCCACCACAGCCTAGATTTGCTGGGCTCAGGGTATCCTTCCACCTCAGTTTTCCAAGTAGCTGTAACTCCAGGTACACACCACCACGCCCAGCTAATTTTTTTATTTATTGTAAAGACGAGGTCTTGCCAAATTGCCCAGGCTGGTCTCGAACCCCTGGGCTCAGGCAATTCTCTCACCTCCGCCTCCCAAAGTACTGGGATTACAGGTGTGAGACACCACACCTGCTATTATGTCACCTTTTAAAGTACAAAATTCTACCTTTCGAAGTACAATTCAGTGATTTTCAGCTATTTATATGTTATGTAACTAACATCAAAATCAATTTTAGATCATTCCATCACCACAAAATGAAACCTTGAGGCTGGGCACAGAGGCTCAGCCTGTAATCCCAGCACTTTGGGAGGCCGAGGCGAGGATTGCCTGAGCCCAGGGGTTCAAGCCTGGGCAACTTGGTGAGACCTCATCTCTACAATAAATCGCAAAAACTAGCTGGGCATGGTGGCATGTGTCTGTAGTTCCAGGTATTTGGAAGGCTGAGGCGGAAGGATCGCCAGAGCCCAGCAGGTCGAGGCTGCAGTAGCCATGAGTGTGCCACTGCACTCCAGCCGGAGCGACAAGAGTAAGACTCCAACTCAAAAAAAAAAAAAAAAAAAAGCCGGGCTTGGGGACTCAGCCTGTAATCCCAGCACTTTGAG